TGATATCAAATATAAATGTGAAATATTTAACGCAATGATAAAGTTCTTTGTTAATAAGTAATTCTTAATTTACTGTACTTTCTTTGCGGCTTTTTTATGTTTCTGGAAAATCAAAATGTTTAAAATATTTTTCACTACATATAAGTTCAGAATACACACACTGACATAATCATCTAGAACATATCAACCTAATACTCCGAGCGAAGCCGGGTACTTTCCCTAGCATAATTATATTTTTTTTCGTATGTTTACATTCATATTAATCCTTATGAGGATTATTTTGCATTCTTAGCTTAGTTAGATAATAGTACCGATAACAGCGAGGCCACTCAACTGATTAATCAATGCATTCTAGTCATTATAATATTTAGTTTTATAATATTAAATACGACTGGTGAGACTGGAATATTGAATAATTTATATTATTAATTAAGTTTTTAGTTATAATCTAAGTATGTATCTTACCTTTTATCATACGTTATTAGCAACATATACGTGTATATTTCTTAGATTTTATTCTTTATAAGTATCAATAAAGTTCTACTTTTTGTTTTTCATTTTATATGCCTCATTATCTATTTCAATTAAAAGTGTTTTCACGATTATGCCATATTTAATAAATGCTTTATTTGTATTTCGGGGAACCTGTTTGTCTTTGTAAAGTCAAAGCATAAAGGCATCTAGATATCCATATAGACGAGGCTCATACATTTTACTTACCAATATATATATATCCCATTATACAGCAGGCAATACGGGGTACATAACAAGTGCTGTGTTTCTCAACCTGTGGTATAGCTCTAGAACCGCGATTCTCGACCTATGATATAGCTCTAGTATCGTGTTTCTCAACCTGTGGTATAGCTCTAGTACCGCGGTTCTCGACCTGTGGTATAGCTCTAGTACCGTGTTTCTCGACCTATGGTCCATAGACATTCTAAAGGGAGTTTGTTTGTTCTCTTGTTGAGTTTCGCGTAAAGTTACACAAGGATTATCTATGTTATTCATCTCTAATTCTGAAGTAATAGACTAGATGAAAGGTTGCTTTTCAACACAATTCATCACCAACACTTGGGCTGTTCTTGTTAAACCAGATAGTGGGAATTGACAGTCACTATTATAACGTATTCACAGCCCCAAATTGTGGAGAGTGATTTTTTTATGTCCCTTTTAACAGGTATCTATCATTTCAAGAAATTCCTTAAAAAAAGAACAAAAACTTCTTAAATATTAATGTCCATCAATCGTCAGTTACGACTCTTTGAGGCTACGGCTTTTTTTTAAGTTTATATGATTGTGTGTGTGTTACACATTCTACTGTTCCTCTTTATTAAGGGGAACATGTCCTTGAATAACATTACAGCCGGAAAAGGGAAGACGTTTGCATGTTAAACAACAAGGAGCTTTGTTTTTAAACGTCATTAATTGAACAGTGACTTGTTTGTTTTAAACAGTAATTTGTATGTACGTCGTTAGACGTCATTAAGTGAACAGTAACTGGTGTATTTAAAGAGGAACTCGTATATACGTCGTTTTCTCCAACACCCGTAAAGAAAGAAATCCAATATTCACGTTTTGTAAGAAGTCTTCGTTACAAATGTGTGTTGTACGTAGATTCGTGAAAATGACCAAAGAGAAGTTGATGTATTGCATATATGCTACGAAGTTAAGCTTCGTTGCATCCGCCAGACTGATAACATGAAAGCTTTAAAGGGCCTTGTTTACCTATGTGGTCTTTGTGCTTGCACATAACATTTAAAATATTCGCAGGGCAATGATAACTTCATATTCTACAAGAAAATAAGCAAGTTGTCTTAGTACCATGTTCATTTTAAGTGACAAGGAATTCAACATACTGAACTCCACAACATTCAGATCAATATACAGTGATCGTACTTCCTTTGAATCAGAAAAAAAAAGAGTACGTCGCAATCCGAAATAAAACTTTTTTGATATCTTATACGTTATTAATTTCTGTATTTCCGTATAAATAGTTTGTGTGTAGTTAAGCACAAAGCTACACAATAGGCTATCTGTGCTCTGCCCACCACGGGTATCGAAACCCGGATTCTAGCGTTGTAAGTCCGCAGACATACCGCTGTGCCACTGTGGGGCTTGGAGAGGGGAGGACTTCTTACGATGGGCACTGGAGTTCTTTGTTTTTCTATAGTGAAAGTACAATAATATGCATTACTTGATATTGGAAAAGCGTTATTTGTGATTTTATTACGAGCTTCTTCTAATATTCTTGATGAGAGAGCAATTGACCCCCTACACACACATACACACAATTGATGTCCTTGTACAAACCGCCGACTTGATATGTCTTTTGCTCTCAGGGTTATCCGACTGTCACACGTTGTTGTCAGGACCTCATTGAACCGTTTCAGATTTGGTTCAAGTGAAACCCCTACAGGTTGGGCTTAAGTACATAATCATACGGTCGAACGGTTCGAGTTTTGGCATCCATTTCAACTTTGCCGCGTTGTTGCTGCAGATGAGGGCTCATCAAAACAAGGAGGTCGATAGCAAAATATGAAAGTAACCTTCACTGCTACGCATAGCACTGGTACCTCTGCATTGGACTTACGATTTGTATGCTAAGTTCAAGATACCAGAAGAAGACAGTTCAAGCCCCCTCACCATTTGTATCATTACTTTTAAGTCTGACATTGCGTGGTACCTTTGCTACTGTTACGCGACAATAAAAACATAAGCTATTCTTTATAATTCAGAACACGTCAAAACGTTTTTGACGATTAATCCTAAAATGCAGGGTTAAGTCACATGATAAAAGGATGCTACCTCAAATTGAAAACCATAAATATATTTAGCCACAGTACATAACATTAAACTATACAAAAGTCTTAGATACGAATGTATATGTGGAAGAGGGTATCAAGTCATTTGTATTTAAATGAAATAAATTATAAATTTCGAGATATTAGATCTTTGACACTGAAGAAGGCTTCGCAAACTCACCATGTGGTCAGTTGTATCTCTTTTCACTTTGGAGATGCTCCCCTATTCAAAATATGTCCATTTGGACAAACATTAAAAATTAAAGTAATGCAGCAAAACAAAAAGAGAGTTTAATAGTTCAAATACTAAAAGGTTAAATCAGCTAGAATCTGGTAAAGTATATAAGAATGACGACCTTAAGTGACTCAGATAAAATTTTCTGTAAGATTTATAATTCTATAAGACTTATTATTTTTGTTAAAGAACGTTAATTGGTGACCTCCTTATGACTAAAAATCGTTGACTAACAATATAGAAAGCTGCAAAGCCATATTAACCAGTCAATAAATATCGAGGTCTGATTTTGTAGCAGCCAAGTGAAGATTTGGTTTACTAAATGTGACGGATTTACTATATTATATCTATTTTAATATCGATGTTTCTTTAAGTTATATTTATATTTAGAAATGTACATAACTTATACTGTTAAATCTGTATTGCGAAATTCCCGCCTATTCACTAGAGTAGTAGAAGATTCTCGAGTGTAAGAATCATCAGTATATGTGTGTGTACGAAAACACTAGTTTACCGTCAGTATTGTTCCGTGAGCTGAAATTTCGAGAACCTTGCCTTTACCTTGGCAAGTATTTCCATTCAGCTCTAAGATCGAAAGGACTCTAGAGCTAAATGTAATCGGGGGCGTTCAGAAACGTGTGTTTCTCTTCGCTCCGCTCGTGTTTTAAATTATTTGTGGGGGTGGGGCTTAATTTGAAAAGAGATGAAGGAAAATAATAATAATAATTTAAAATAAACAGCGAAGATTTGATATGGCAGCAAGCAAAAGGTGGCAAGAAAACCAAGGAACATCAGAACAAAAACTAACACGAACACAAGGAAAAACGGCCGATATTGGTGTGCTATAAACATCAGAAGCTATAACTGTGATTGTTATAACGCTTATTAATCGGGAACTTCAGATATTTGACCAGAAAAGTTTATAAATTTCGAACATTACAAACAATTTAACTTCAATGGACTCACATCAGACATAAATATTTTTACGAAAACATTATATAACTTCGTCGGTGGAAAAACCCAACGTATGACCGGTGAAGAAAGAAGAATATATCATAGAACTAGCTAGATCCCTGTTAAGTGAATTGTATCTACATCAACTTGAAATTAATTCGTTAATCATGAACTCTCGATATCAAAGAAGTTCCAGACCAAAAAAGAAGACTCGATATTGTTTGTAAGTTTGTAAATATTTTGTACATAGATCATTATTTGTAATAACTGTTATTGTAATTGTATTAAAAAAAGAAACTCTGTGTATCAGTCTTGTTGGCAAATATTATAAATCGGATACACATCGACATTTATTTAATTTATAAATCTAAATTATCATTTAACTCAGTTTCAGGCTATTAGAAATTATAATACGTTACGTAATAAATTGGATACTCGTCCGGAATAAATTGTAATACGTAGCATAAATCATGTATGTTATAGATTATAAACAAAAACATACGAAAAAATTGCAACTTTTGATACTGCTTTCCAGTCAATGTGGAGAAGAAAGATAAAAGCTAGGTATTCATTTTTTGTTTCTGTTCACACTAAATATGTTTTTGCTCAAACTAATTTAGAGTTGAACCGACATGGAAAACACATTACATGGCTTATTACATAGAATCGTCCGATAGATGGAAATATTAAGGAAATAATATTTTCCGTCTCATTTAGTATTAGCAGTAATAGTAGAAGTATTAGTGGTTAGCCTAAATAGACTCAATAATCCAGTTATAGACAATTACATATCATGTTACAAGCTGATACTTAAAAGTTGTTTATAACATTTCAGCACAAACCAAAATTGATCACGTATGACATAACACTTGAAAATTGTTCAATGTAAAGCATGTTTCAAAAGGCAAGTCTTATTCTTGAAGAGGCTTTTAAGATCAGTGAAGTTTTTCATCCATTCGAAGTGAAGTGTACAGTTAAAACTTGCTAGCAACAAACATGAGTGTGTTGAATTTCCATACGGTGCTATCCCTACTGGTGTGTATTATTTTAATAGAAACATGTAACACAGATCCTTCAATAAAAGATACGGAAATGACCAAAACTCATGATCTAGAAGATATTCTGGATGCGGTGTCTGTATCCGTTTTTGAAATGCTAAAAGCGGCAAAAGAAATATTGAAAGGTAAATATCTATGTGATTAAAACTATAAAATGATTTATTTGTTTTGAGGAATGTAAAAGTGCCAAGAGAAAATTGAATGTATTTTTCAATATTGTTTTATTAATTCTTATATTTCTATTCGTGTTGTTTTACTTATTAGTGACAGCTTATTGGGCTCAAAATATAGCACTTACAAATTTGACCCAATAATATTGAAAGGAAGGCATTGTAACTTGAAATATTTTAAGTTAGCGAAATAGAAAATTTTCAAGGAAAGGCAATAAGTATAAATTGTTAACATTTATCTTCCCCAACTTTTGTTTAACTTTTTTATTTTGAATTATTTGAAACAAATATTTTGAATAGCTGACATAAAAAAAATGGAAATAGTTTTCATTTCTAAAAGGGTTAGTTGCATTTCATCTCAAAGGCATAACTGCTACAGTAGAAGAAAAATGCATCAAAGCCGCAAGATTTACAGATTGTGCTGACCTTCGAAGTTATGGTTATGTCCAGAGTGATGAGATTTACTGTATTTGGCCTCGGTACTTGAAGAAACCTATCCATGTTGTGTGTGACATGGACACTGAGGGTGGTGGATGGACGGTATGTTTTTTTATCTTTTTTTATTGTATACATAATAATAACTGCCAGTTATTTCTATTAAGTTGATCAGATTTTCTTTTCACGCTTTTTTAAATTAAGAACTATTAATTGCTTTGTTCTTAAATGGGTTCATTTCTAAACTTTCTAAACTTAAAGAAGTTGTTTAACTTTTTAATTCTTTATCATTTTCTGCATCAATATCCAGACTTTTTGAGTTTTTCTAAAGGACGAAGCTTTATGGGATGTAGTAACGTTAATGAGTCGAAATGTTAGTGTGAAACACTTTGCCATGGATCGATGCAACGAATTATTAACCCTTAAATTAACTACTTGTTCTTACATCGTTCACTACTGGTGGAGTCCACATATTGCATAAATGTCAGTAATTTTATGTTTTTGAATAAAACAATAACTAATTGGATTAATTGCAATTTTTGTCATATTTTAGTTTTCTATTGCGTGTGTTGCTCGTATGTTATTGGGAACTCTGTAAACAATAAAGTCATGGACCCTCTAGCATTTGGGTGAATAAATAGTTTAAAGATTTTTTAATGTGTTTAAAAAGCCAATGTCTTCTCCGATTTGGAGGTTAGCTACCATTTTCCTCATCTTATCCCGAAGAGTTGATTCTCTCGTATTGATAGCTGTGTCTGCCTTCATATAATTAACGATTTCATCCATCTATTTAAGCCTTTGTCTACCACTTCAATATAACATTTCAGCATTAAGTTTTAAAGATCTGTAATGCCTCATTACAGTCCAAGGTATGTTATCTTTCTTCATGCAAAGGTTACCATCAGTTCCCTCTTTTGGCCAGTTCTTCTTTGTACCTCACTATTTTTGTATTTTTCTGTCTAAATAATCTTAGTTGTTGTTGTTGTTTTTTCTGTTTAACCACATTTCTGGAGTATCAAATATTTTCTCCATTGTTTTACTAATGGACAAGTTTCTGATGCATAAGTTAATGTTCCCCAGATGTAGCTGTTTATTAGTATTACATCAGTGTACATAGAAATTGTATGGATAATATACGTATAAAATTGTTTTTAAAGAATAGCTAGATCCAAAGGCCTCCCATTGGTGAGTTCAAATCCATGAAGAAACAAAGCTGTTATGTGCAGGAACTGCCTAGTTCAGGTTGACACTTGAAGATAAAAATTTGCTGAGTTACTCTACAAAAGTAGCTCAGGTAAAAAAGGACGATATCCTATAAAACTGCAAAAACTGGTGCAAAAGGAAGTCTTTCGAAACGTCGTTTTTGTAGACTTATATAGGAGGATTGAAGTGGGCATGTATGACTGGCTGGTGGTTGTTGTAACAGAAGTCTTTCGAAATGTTATCCTTTCCAACTGAACTACTTTTGTAAACCATTCCTCCGAGATTTTATCATCAAATGTTACTCCATACAAGGCAGTTTCTGCCATTTGAACTTAATATGTTCATTTCGTGGAAACAAGATAGTAAGTGGGGCATGCGACGTAACTATTTTAACCTATTGTTCCTCTTCGCTCCACAGGTTTCTGACGTATGCTAATTTTGCATTATTTTTGTTATTATTATTATTCGAATAATGTAAGCTTTATTTTCAGTGTTTTAATTTAAATGTTTGTTAGAGGGCAAATGATGTTATGATCTGAAAAATTCGTGTAGTGAATAGACGGCGAGTATGCTATAAATATTAAATACAAGTAAAGTGAAGTATTCAATGAGTAATGGATTACAAGTTATTGAGTTACTGAAGATTCAATGAGTTACTCAGTTGAGTGTCAGTCAGTTCATTCAGTGTTAGAAATGAGAGTTAACGCGTCTGTTCTGTTATTCATTTAGTCGATCGATTAGCCGTGAGATTTTACAAGTTTATAAGTAAATTAAGCCTACATTCGTTTCTTAGCTTATATTGAAAAGTTTGTGTATTTGAAATTAGACCTAAAAATGAACATGGCTTGTAGGAAAGATTTATTGAAGAAATATGTTAAATTGTTATCGTTACTTGGACTGGACTTGGCATTATTTTGACCAAATAATCCAAAAGACCCCGTCCAACGTTAGAATACGTTACAACAATAACAATTGTAAGATAGCTTAAGTAAAAATCATAAATATGTTACAAAAGCATTTGAGAAAAACAAAATTAAACTCTTTTATAATATTAAGGTTATAATCAAAGTGTATGTAAGGCATTGTTGATGCTCCAGGAAGAGCGACTGAAAGCTTTTGGGATAGAAACAAAGAGTGAAACATAGATAATCATATGTATGCAAGGAATCAGTTATTGAATTAGTATATTAAATTAATTAATAATATACATGTGTTTGTGTTTTAAAGGTGATACAAAGACGTGGATACTTCAAAGACATGCCCCAAGACTTTAATCAGTCCTGGTTCTCTTACAGCGTAGGATTTGGTAACTTGAAAGAAGACTTCTGGCTTGGTATGAAAGTTTTCACAAGAAATTGTCAAGTACCTGTTTGCTATATAATACGTTCTAGTTAGTTAGTTGTAGATTTGTTCAGTAATATTTACATCAAAAGTAAACTATAACATTTCATTGATATCTTGTTATGGTTAATATAGTCCCTAAAGAGTAAGCTAGCTAGTTATATTGTAAATTGCACATGAAATTTAAAAAACTATTTTGGTAACAAGAAAACTGTAAGAAAAGTAATTATACATATCAAAAATAACTCGCACATATTTGATTTGATATAATTGTGTCATATCATTAAAATATCAGTTTCTATTCAAAGAAAATATGCGATATTGGTGTACGCTCATAAAAGTAAGGACTTTTCTTTGACATTGTTATCTATTTATTTCACAAGCTTTGATCTCAACTTCAACAATCGTCTTCAGGTTTTCAATTAATGAACATATAGTAATTAAACTCTTAGTTTGTTTGTTTTGAGATTAGCGCAAAGCTACACAAGGGCTATCTGTGCTAGCCGTCCCTAATTTAGCAGTGTAAGACTAGAGGGAAGGCAGCTAGTCATCACCACCCACCACCTACTCTTGGGTTACTTTTTTACCAACGAATAGTGGGATTGACCGTCACATTATAATGCTCCCACAGCTGAAAGGGCGAGAATGTTTGGTGTGATGGGGATTCGAACCCGCGACCCTCAGATTGTGAGTCGAGTGCCCTAACCACCTGGCCATGCCGGGCCCCAAACTCTTAGAATGAACAATTTATCACATTCGTAATGTAGTTGTACTGTTGTTACAATTATACTGTGCACATCAGAGAAAACGTTTAATATTTATAGGTTTTTTTTATTTTTCTTAGATTCAGGCCTTTATTTCACAGATAATATTGTAAACTTTACCTTTGCTGAAAAGAAAAGAAATATATAGCATAATCATTAAATAGTTGGTCTGTTATATAATACCCAAAATTAAATTATGTGCAATAACATAATATCGTTCGCACACCTAAATTAACATAGGTTACTACATGGTGAGTTAATTTTCAAAAATACTTCAAAACACAATAAATATTTATACATTACCATTAATGACTCTTACCACTCATTTTTCAGTTATATATTACTTTGTTTTGTAAAAATGAAAATTCTTGTTGATGTTGCATTGTGAAACAAAACTAACGTTTACTCTATTCCTACTTCAGGAAATGATATAATATTTGCGTTAACAAACCAAAAAGAGATGGAACTGAGAGTGGAGTTAGAAGATTTCTCTGGAAAATCAGCTTATGCGCAATATTCGTCTTTCCTGGTTTTAAGCGAGAGAAGAAAATACCAGATGTTTGTTACAAATTACACTGGAGACGCAGGTAAAAGTCCTATTAACCAAACAACACCGTTTAAAGTAGGTAGATTAGTAATTTTAATGATATTAGCAGAGGTATCTGCGGTATTTCCTTCATCGGGTCCACTGGAATGGTTAAATTAAGAACTTTTAGATATGAAGTTAATTTCGTGAAAGGTTTGTCGATATCGTGGTTTGTGAAATTTACTGTTGAATAAAAAATATGGTTGTAATTTTACCATAATATAACAACATTGTCTTTGTTTGAACAGGATATTTGTGGTTCCAATCTCGGATTACATTCTGGGTTAACCAATACATATCCGTAAAGCTTCTTTCATTTAAACACAATTTATTATAAGCATATCGTTTGCAAGAACACATGATATATGTTTATTTTTTAATAATTATTAGAGACAAGTATCCACTGAATTACCCTGACCCACAAAAAATACAGAAGAATGTATATTTGTTGGTTTTGATATAATCAATTTTCATATAGAGATCTGTGAAATAATTAAATTTCAGTGAACTAGTATGTAGAGTGGTTCTCTAATTTATAAAATATATTGTATCCTACTGGTGGCGTCCCCCAGTGGGACAGCGGTAAGTCTACAAATTTACAACGCTAAAATCAGGGGTTTGATTCCCCTTGTTGGACAAAGTAGATAGCCTGATATGGCTTGGCTATAAAAAACATCTACGCACACATCATACTGGTGGCACAATGAAAAAACAATGATGTTTAACATTATTTTATATGTTGTACCTGAGCAAAACTACAACAAATGAATTGATATTATGCCCTTTGATAGCAATAAATTATACCCATATGGATGGTTGAGTACGATATATTAGAACTATTTTCAATATGCAAATCAACAAATCGATGTAAAGTCGTGTATTAAAACTATATTTTCACATTATTTGGCTTTTATAGGTAGTGTGATGCTACTGAAAATTGATTTGATCGATTTTGGGGAAGAGTATGTAATAGCCCTTTCTGAAACAAAATATTTATACACTAAGATCGTAAAGATGTGTTAAGATCGGGGATTTAGAATTTCCAAGATTAGTATATCCCTTATAGTTAATGTACTAGAAAATACAGGACAATGGATCAAGTTGTGGCATCAGGACCATCCAGAAAAAGACCTACAACAAGTCATACCCCAGCCATAGTAAGCATAGTGCAGGTGAGAATTCAGGAACCCAAAAGTCAGCTGCAAAAGCCGTCCACTTGTCCAGGCAATAATAATGCATTATAATGAAGAAAGATCTCCGTCTCAAAAAGCGACATAAGTCATGTGTACACAAGTTGCTTCCATGACATATCCTTTCAATCATCGCATAACACAAGCAGCTGGAGAATGAAAGAGATATTCGTGCTCTTCCATACAAAGAGATATCGATCAAATCACTGGATTCGTTAGTTTCTGTGGATTTCTGTATGATCTCGCCGTTGTTATAGGTGCTGGGAAACTCTCATCTTCGTACACTAGATGGATTATGGAAAGCCTGGATGGTGTGAGGATGGGTATGCTTTAGACATGGCAGCCTCACAACGGAACCTTTTGCAATGAAAACTATGTTGCAGGGCTATTGTCAAGATGTACACTAATCAGATAGAGCATGGTCAGATGCCGCAATATCGACTGAAGTGAGAATTCAAAATCATTTTAATGAAACGTACTCAACCTCTGATTGATTGTATTTATTAGTTTTGACAATATAATGCCCATCAAATTGCACCATTTTTTGTCCTATTGCTTATATGCGTGGAAAAGTAAGACATTTTTTGTGTGGCGTGCATTTTCATTTTGCTTAATCGAATATTATGTTTGAGAGCATGAATGGAGTGTGACTTAAGAGTTCAGCCAATAACAGCTGCAACTTTATTCTTGAAAAAAGTCAAGTATTTATTTTCAAAGTATTCTAGAGGATTCTTTCTTAATTATCACCATTAAAACACTTAATGACAACAAAATCAGTACAACCAGCGCACAAAGGACAACTTGGTCATCCATTTCAAATGCTTTTAGTTTTTACACACAATAATCGTGTACAAAATGCTATACAAAATAATATTCAACAAACATTATATGTGCGGCAGTACTCGAAGATAACAACTAGGGTTTATGTGTTCCCTAAGTAAGGTATACTCTATGTACTTTAATTTTAATTGATAGACTAGATGTAAGGCAGCTAAGCAACAGCATCCACTGACATCTCTTGGGTCTCTCGAATTGAATAGTGAAATATAACCGTCACTCTTATGACACACCCACGAGTATCATTAATACTTTGATCCTTTTTTTTACATTAATTTATTTCATATAAACATTATGACATGCATAAATGTCAGTATACTATTACATATGTATTCCCTATTTTTTAACAAACGGGATTTTTATATTATGTTTCATAATGTGAATGGGAAGTACTGAACGTTAGTTCCTCACATCGTTTTTTTTTAAAAGCCTTCTTTAAAGTGCTGGAATAAATCCAAGCAATGTGATTCCATGTCTGACTAATTGATAAAAGCATAGGTGACTGGTTTTAACCAGTTCCTGTACAGTTAAATAGTGTTTATGAATAGATACTTTGTGACTCTTATCATTTCATTAAACAATGAGAAAAACTTACCTACAACTCCATCACTACAATAAGGCTGCTGCACAAAACTCACGTGCTTAGGGTTTTCCCTCCAAGAAAATATTTAAAATCGAATTTAAGACGACATCAAAAAGGAAGACACGAAAGTTTAAGAAATATCAAATTTCGAAAGTTGCTTTACCAGATCAAAGTTTATATATTAGCTATCGACAAGAAAACTTCAATTTTTAACCAATTCTTATCAATAGACGTGCGTTTCTCGTGATCTTAATTTCTATTGGTTAGATACATGGAAGCTTTGGAAGGTTTAAAAGAAGTGTGAATTCAGCTGATCCGAAAATTGAAATTAATTAAAATGAGTAAGAGACAACCAGTGAACAAAGATGTAAGCGTGTCTGATTTCTGGTTAAAGATGAAAACATCTGAATCGATCTCGCCAATAATAAGCATTAAAGTAGAAAAGGTTTTTAATATACTGTAACAATAATAATTCTTTTATGGATAATGTTTTATTATTCATAAATAAACTGAGAGGTATTGGTTATAAAGACTCGCAAGTAAATAAATTATTTACACTTTTTTATAATAAATACCAAAATATTTTAAAGAATGAACTCTCGATTATGGAAAATACCTTATGGAGACATTATAGGTTCATAGTTACTCTTGGTTTATAAGTAGCTAACTTTGAAAATATAATTTAATTCAATATTCCGGAAATTTCAAGTAGCTGGCCTTGTCTCCACTTTCTCATGTTATGCTTCAATAAATCTTCAAGAGAAAGGGAGGAGGATGTTATGCAAGAACTATTAAGGCAGTGTTTGTTGTTCTTTTTTTAAGATCATTTAGTTTCGTTTAATATCTTTTTATAAGGGCGGGGGTTGGAAGTTTCACATAGCAGAAATTTTAGGGTGGTTTCATTTCTACTTTAAGAACTCTAAAAGTAACTGCCTTCCCACAACTGACTGCAGGAATTAGACGTTGAGACGTTGTGGGTGTAAGCACTCAACTCTGTACCCTTAATTGATTTTCCATGATAGATGGCTAGTTTAACATCAGCGTTTGGATTTTGTCTGAAAGGTGGGATATCCCCAACGCATTTGGGTGCTATTACCACAGGCATTATCCGTTATGACATCAAGTTGGCAACTAGGACTGTTTGTTTGTTTTTAATTTTGTGCAAAGCTACTCGAGGGCTATCTGCGCTAGCCGTAACAAATTTAGCAGTGTAAGACTAGAGGGAAGGCAGCTAATCACCACCCACCGCCAACTCTTGGGCTACCCTTTTACCAACGAATAGTGAGATTGAACGTCACTTTGTAACGCCCCCACGGCTGAAAGGGCGATAATGTTTGGTGGGACAGGGTTTCGAAACCGCGACCCTTAGATTTCGAATCAAGCGCCCTAACCACTTGGCCATGCCGGACCAACTAGGACTGACAATTGCAATTCTACGGTAATGCTAATCTTATATTAAGTTCATTATTATTTTATAGTTCTGATTTAATCGCCTGTTAACAATTAGTGTAACTATTAGTATTAGAGCTATGTATATGTCAGGGTTATTGAACATTTAAGAGAGTTTCATGAGTAACTTCGTTTCGTGAAAAATAATTTTCAACATATTTTTGTTACTTTATTTAAAAACTTATAAAATTTTAGTTGCTACCGTGATTACAGAGAGTGAGTTCCTGTACTAAGAGTAATCGTCCACTATAATGCTCCACATTAAATGCATAAAGGAAGTATTCAAGAGAACAGTAGGTTTGTTTGTTTGAAGTTTAACACAATGAGGTATCTGTGCTCTGCCCACCACGGGTATAGAAACCCGGTTTCTAGCGTTGTAAATTCGCAGATATACCGCTGTGCCACTAGAGGGCAGCAAATAGAGCATGACCGGGCGTGGTGACATGGACTGTAACGAGTTGATCAGATTTCAAAATCGTTTGGATTTAACTTACTCAACTCTCTGCATTTTTGGTTTCAATAAATATTGAATAGCGATTTCAAATTATATCAATCAAACCTGTATCAGGATGTTAACAGAGGTCAACCTATTGTAAGGTCAGGATGCTAGCAGAGGTCAATCTATTTTAAGGTTACTTCCACTAGAAGAGACCACAAAGTTATCATTTTTATGTAATAATAAGAGAAATGTCGAAATCTGATGGTTTTTTTTCTTTCTCTTCATAGGAGATTCATTATCAGCCCACAGCGAGATGTATTTCTCCACGAAGAATGTCGATAATGATAACTCACCAGATCGTCACTGTGGCTTCGAGCTGTTCTGTGGGTGGTGGTTTACAACTTGCCATCCTAGTAACTTGAACGCTATTTATTACAGAAGTGGGAAACCTCCTAAACATTGGCAAGGTATTGTCTGGAATACTTTTGGAGGATATGAAATTTCGTTAAAAAAAACAGAGATCAAGATTAGACCTGCTAAATTTCCCGTACCAATGTAAACGAAATGGCAGTTTGTAGTATTTAATATTTTTTTTTAATTTAAGTTTTTTACTTACCTCTATACGAAACCAACTTTGTTTTTGTTTCCCAACCCTTCTTCCTTTTAATTTATCCCAATCGTCTAATTCCCTCCTTCGCTTTAACCTTTATGGGTTTTTTTTTTGTATTATTTTTTCTCTTTATGTCTTTTGTCATATAATTCTATATCAAAATTTTTAGTATTCTTACTTACTCAAAAAAATAATTCATATATCCATATTAGTGTTTTTCTTGAATCCATCTCGTTCAACTTATTAATTAAAGTTCCTTTTATAACTACTCTTTTTGTCGCGTCCTCTAGTGAGAATTCTAAATACTGCGATGTAGACTAATTTCATATACGTAATCACGCATACTTGATTTATTATTCGTCAATAAATTAGTGTTTCTAACTGCTCAGTGGTCAGACCTACAAACCTTGAATTACATGTAGCACATGTAAATTCATATATATCTAAGTGTTTTTTGACTATGAACTTTTCTCTCTATATCTGAAAACTTATTCTTTTCTCAGGTTCAAAAACTCTTACATAACTTACGGGCATGTGCTACGAAATAGCCCAAACAATTGATCTTTTACAGTCATATACGTTTACTCGTACTAATTATATTTAAAATAAAAGGTTTACCATAGAACATCAACTTGTCCTCCTTCATACAGTTGGTTATGCAACGATAACAATGATAGTTGTGTAAGTAAAGTATATCATTACAAACAATTTACAGGTTTATATTTTACTTTTAATAGCTAGATTCCAGAGCGGTTTAAAGTAGGTATAATTAAAATATTAATTAATCATGCTTATAAAATAGTTTGTATATTTTCTCTCACAGTTTTTTTTTTTGTACACCACCCTATTCTTCTCTTCTTATTATTATTGTTTTCTCTCTCTACAAACCCAACCCTAATATCCTCATCTTTATTTCCTTTTTTTATAATAAAAATTTAATTTGTTTTCATTTTTGCCTTATATCTATTACTAAACAAATTAGGTAAAATTTTGATATATTGTACTTGTCGTTTTGTACCTAATTGTGTCACTATTCGCCAATATGAAGTTCACATAAATCATATTAACAAACAAGTGGATATTTGGGTCCTAAACTATGAAATTATATAAACTTTACTGAGTTTCACAACGTTCACTTTCAGTAAAATTCAAAAATATTTTACTCAAGTACTTTGTAACCAACAAAGTCCATTTCCAATACACATATAACATTAACATATAAACTCTTATTTCAAATCATATCATTAGGTAACCTTACATGTAGGTTTCATACTAAAATACTTTGTAACCTTACTTATTTTTAAATTTATTTAGATGTTATGCTATAAATATAATAAATTGTGAAGATGCTTTATCATAGACTAGTTGGAGTACAGTCCAACAGATGGGTAAAATAAAGACTCTTTTGTAACAAAGGACAGAAAATTGTACTTCTATTTACCGTGATAAACACAAAGCGCAATTAAAATACATAAAGGTACCAACACTCAAAAGAAAGATGTACTGTTTACAAGAATTCTATCAATATGAACTTTCTCATGTCATCCTGTATCAAGTTGGGTGCTGATTAATCAACAAACGTGGAAAAGTATAAGGAAAAGATGGCTGAAATGTGCGAACAAACAAACACAAACTTAGCTTTATGTATTAGATTAAAATACACATATAGCGAGTCTTACATGAAAGAGAGTTAACACATAAAATAACATTTTGTTTCAACACCTTTCTTTATTCACAATTTCATCACATTTTTCAAGTGCAATTAGAAAAAATAATTAAACTTTTAAAAATGATAATAATCCAAAATGACAGTTATGTCCAATAACAAATTACAGTGTTTTGACAGATGTTAACATACAAAATTGTGTAACTTTATGCAATAACATGAATTGTGTTTTATGCTACAGGTATTGTTACAAGTAGGCTGGAAACATTTACAATTTCCTACATACTTGAGGGAAGTTTATTCACAAACAATACAGCAAAACACAAAATACCTATGGTTTAGAATGTATAAATTATATACCATACTAAGAAAAGACAATCAGATCTATATTTTTTTTTTTCAGTTTTTCCTTACCATGTTCAAGCAATAATTATATTTATCCAAATATTAAGCCCAATAGGATGCCACTGTTAGCTATGAAACACAAAGGAACACAATGTACAGTGTATGTCTCTCTGTTGTTTTCTAGAGCAGAAAAAGCTGCAGAAGGGAAAAAAATAATATTAGAATGAAATGTTTAATAAAATGTGAAATTAAAAAACAAAAATACTCAAATGGTATATACTGCTTAATATGTTATTTAAAAAAAAGATATGCACAGTTTAAAAATGGTATGGAAGTAAAGGGCAGAAAAATGCTCAAAATGTTACAGTTTCATATATTATATGAATGTTTAACAGGGTAAGAAGTTTATAAGAAATATATTCATTTATTCAAAATATCATGAAAATGAAAGGACAGAATTATTTTCAAAGGGCTCATCAAATAGCCAGAAAATGTTCAGAAGATATTTATTCTAAGCTTAACATTTTTCATCCTCATATACTTCCTATTTTTGTAACTAATTCTCTCTTATTTGTTGCCTGAATATTTTAATGAAATTATTTTAGTTCAATAATAAGAAACAGTGTTCAAGCACTGTTTTTCAAATTCTTTATTATTTTCTTTCTCATATGGAAGTACAAGACTTTTATGCATATAAAACATAACTATATCATATGTCTATCTATTACTCAAACAAATACGAAACCCATACATAAAGACCATACCTCACTGCAACACATTGTCTATGTATTTGAAACTGAAAAATTGGGCAAGACATAAATCTTAAATGAATCAGCAGTCTTTGCTTTCCAACTACATGATCAACATTACTTAACCAGAAGGAGCTTCCACATTGAGTTTACAGTCTTTGCTTTCCAACTACATGATCAACATTACTTAACCAGAAGGAGCTTCCACGCTGAGTTTACAGAAACACAAACCAGAACAAACTGGGTATTGTTTATTACGAATATGAAAAATGGAAACCAAACTGCATGAAGTTTTATACTCGTTAAAATATTGTATTTTCCATCACACTAGTCATCTCCATTTCTCTGACAAATTTTATCTTATTATTCCCCTGCTTTAAATATCAGCAATTACAAACTTTTCCATTGGTAATATTAATGTTTAAGAGGTAACAATATCCAGAATGAAGGGTAATCAGTGAGTATTTTATGGAGAACAGAGGCATTTTTCTCATCACTTGTGAAATTAATGAAAAATGTTTGGCTATAAAAGAAATTCTTACACAAAAATACTGGGCAACAAAAGTTATCTAAAGTTTATGGTAAAAAATTAATTTATTTATTAAAAGTAAGAGAACACTTAATAGAGCAGAAATTAGTTATTCCATGTTAAATATACTATTTTAAACAAATAATTAGCTTAGCACAACTTAGACACTTTTGTAATTTCTGCACTCAGAAATAAGCACACACCAGGGCAATTAACCATTAATACAAGAATAAAATAAATCTGGAGCACCAATCACAATTCAAACTAACCAGGACCCTCTACTTGTCTAACAACCTTAATGTTGACACTGAAAGAACCAGTAAACCTATTAACCTGACTTTCAAACAGTTAGGTGTATGAGATAGTCAAATGTGAAGTAGAACTTCAACACATATTGAAATCAAGTTAACTTGACAAAAGTTAAAAAATTTGAGAAGCAATTTTTCTTTGGCTGTTATCATTCCTTTTTGTTATTTATAGGACTACTAAACCTAAGAAAATTACAAAATCTAAAAAAGATTCTTGTTTACTTTAGAAAAGTTAAAAGTATTGAGATTGAAAACATTAAGTTAAGCAACAACAACAAAATACTTTAATTTCTACAGGTATCTCAACAAAGTCAAAAAGTTTGTGTTGTAGCAATTTTAAATAGTACGTGAAATTCACAAAATTTAGACGAAAGGTTTTGAACTGTATAAAATATTATTTACGAATTTTCTACCTACTAAAAAATAATACGTTCCACTTTCTACATGCAAAAATACGTTATGCAGCTGATAACACTTTACACCATTAAGAAAGGAAACAAACAGTTTATATTCACCACAAAAGTTTACTCATAATGGTTACTAAAAACCAGAAATTAATGTGAAGTTCCTGGTCTGTCTTGAAAAACTTAGCCCAGTCTTGGGTTATATGTAGCAAATGTTATTTTAACTAAGTAAGTGTCTGAAAATTACTCCATAAATAGTATGTTATAAAATCCTATATAATTACGTGGTTATTATGTTTTTTGTTCTGTCCTAAACTGTTCAAATCAGTTATACTTTGTCATTTTCATTTTAGGCTATTGTCATAAGGGTACTTTAACTCTTAGATATAACTGATGCAGTGAAACACAGAATAAAATATTTTACATCCTGGTTAATCTTATCTATTACCAGTTTAAATTATCTGCTATTCTTCAGTTTATGTTAACAATTACTTAAATATAATACAGCTTCCTTGGTTATGACATTACATGTAATGTTGCAATATCATACCTTTAAATCTTGAAACTAATAAGACAGTTTGGATCCTTACAAAGGCTCATGAAAACAAGTCTAACTTGTACATATATAACACATTTTGTTTTATCCCATCATGTCTAACTAATCACAAATACACGCAAACAGAGACTTATCAACTTTTAACTGATTCTGTAAGATGTGACTCACGTGTCTACATACATCCATGTCATATAACAGAGTAAAAAAATAATACTGTACGAGTAGGTTAATGTAAGAAAATTGACAAAAAAAAATAAAAAACAGGATTAGGAACATTGATTACAAGTACATTACGTGTCCTAATTGAGAATAGAGAAGAAAATGAGAGGATAAATCTATAGAGGCTGACACTAAGCTTAAAATCAAGATCCTAACTTCAATCACTAACCTGTTTGTAAAGGTGTTTTAAAATGGTTTCTCTGGTGAAACTAGCATTGCTTTTATTTATCTTTCTTTCAACAATATGAGATTGATGATCTAAATAAAATGCATTTCAGTATGCAAGATAATACTAGAATAAATGGGCAGAAGGCATTTAGAAATAGGCTTGATATGCTAATTGAGAATGACAGAAAGCACACTGAACATTTTCTGTGTAAGTTTCTCAAACACACTATATTGTGTTCAAACCTTCCCAAATAAAACTTATGCAACTTAAAGCATTCAATAAGAATAAAGACTCTATACTTATGGACAGTAAAGTTTGCATTAAAATGGAAATCAAAATTTTGAAAAATCTTGAGACTTTAAAAAATCTATAATTTTAAAAGTCAAAAATTGCTGCATAATCTTAAAAAATAAAGCATGAGAAATATTTCAATCTTATATATATATATATATATTGTGAACTGTGGCGTTTTTCCAAGCATTCTTCTGTGTTCCGTTTGAAAAGTTATTAACACATCTAAAGCTCAAACATCCACTTTTGAAATGACAGAACAGGAGTGAATAATGTTGATGTCAAATTTTATTTCACAAGTAGGATATTCTACACTAAATTGTTAGGAATTAATCACATTATCATTCACATTTCCAAATGTGACAAAACTTAAAGAATAAAAATGTATATTTACCATATGATATTGTTGAGCAGCTTTTAGAATGACTAAAATGCTGAACAATTACTTTTCGCAGTGGGCAGTATAAGTAGCTCAGAGTTTTGGCTCTGATTGAAACCAAGAGTGCAACACAGTTAACCTTTTTAAAGCCCATGAAATAATTTAACTTAGATTAACTTTAAAACTTTTCCCAGCATGAGGGATGAATACTTCTGTTGTAACTTCAATAAGAAAGTAATTTACTCCAAAACCTTTTTCTTAATCTTCAAACAAACAAATACCCTAGTATTGTCAAGCATCAGAACTTGTCCACCAAAAGACTATAAAAAATAGTCACATCCTATTGTTTCAGCATGTGCTTTTGTAAAAACAGTTGTAGACACTTTTACAACTTATTCCAGCCATCTTTCAATTAAAAAAAATCGAAAAATTAGAGCTCCTTCATTTGAATGCTAGAACTATTTTGTTCAAAAACACACACACACACACACACACACACAGACCTTACTGATGAAATTCAGGAAGAAACAGACACAACAAGAAATTCAAAATGTGACATCTGAAACAATGTTAATTGTTGTTGTTTACAACACATTTTATTGAATGCAATTATGTCTCCCCCATATAAAGGGAGACTTTGTATTTCCTGTGTTTCTTTCTTCTTCTCCTCCTTTCCAACAATTATGATTGTGTGCCACTCCTTTATTTCTGTGCTGATCCTTTTGAAACTTGTAAGGCACATACCTTGGTCCAATATGCACTTACATTTGTTTTTTCTTTTTTATCTAGACTCCTATTCTGGTTTTGGGGTCAAAGATCAAACATTACAAAAACATATTTTTACTTACAGTTCCATTATAACTAAATCAATCCAAACAAGACTTGAAAAAAAAAGATACCTTGCAACAACCCACACAAACAAAATCAAACAGATGTAAGATTTGTGCCTGTTTTGCAATTTTTACCGGGATCAGAAGTTAGAAATATTTGCAAAGTTAAGGCTTTAGGCTTGGCAATCCTCTATATTTGGACCAATATAAATGAGACTTTACACAATAACATACCTTGCGACAGCCCCACAGACTGAAACAGATTTGGGTTTCGTGACTTTTTTTGCAACTTTACAGGAGGCAAAGATGAAAACATTTCACAGTATTAGGATATTTGGCCTGCCATTTCTCTATACTTCAATCAATCTAGATAACATATGGGCAGAGATAGCTTGCAACAATCCAACAGACTGAAGCAGACAGACTTTACAGGGATCAAATGTTAAAATTTTCTGAAAAGTAAGGACTCTAGTCATGCCATTCCTTTATATTTTGACTAATCTAGATAATACTCTGCACAATTCTTCACTTTGAAGCAAACATATTTGGGATTTATGCAATGTATATAATATGGAAATATGAACCTAGAGACATTGACAGCATACCTAAATGCTACAAGAGGCTTTTTATTAATAATGTTTTCATTCATACAATGCATGAAATTCCATAGACCATGTCAAAAAATGGGTCTTATTGGCCCAAAATTTACCTGTAAAGTTTCTATCATTGTCACTGAATCTATTTATGCAGAAATTGATTTTGTCACTTAAGGTCACAATTTAGTATGCTCTAATACATTTTTCTCACACACACAAAAACCTTATGTTGATACTGTGTTAAGTGTCTATCCCTCTGAAGTATATATGCTTTTGTTTATTCCCCTTCCTTGAATGTCATTCTCTCTTGAAATCTACTGTATTTCTTTAGATCTTACCTAATAGGGTGGATAGGGAAAATCATACTGCATTTGTTTGTGAATATTGGTCTTTCTAGTTCAAAATTATCTCATCACTACTGGAAAAAATGTGTTGGTATGAGCAAATATATTGCTGTTGTCTCTGCAGTGATGTACATGCAATATTTGGATGGTAAAACCTTTACAACATGGTGCAAGCATCCAAGACTTCATATGTATGTTGAACAAGATATACATGACATACAAAACTATGGACTAGCAAAAGTGCCCACATATAGTTTACCTGTATAACAAATTCACTCTTGATAAACCCTCAAGGCATTTGGTATTTGGGTCATTCTTTAAATCAAGAGATAATATAACAATCAGTTGCTTAATGGAAACACCACCTCTGAACTTCACCAGAGTTCTGAAAAATGTGTAGTGCATTCAACAAGGAATTTACATCAACTCCCAAAATTTATCAATATCTAACTTTAATTCTTGAACAGAGTTGTTTAAACATAAGTGTAAAACACTTAAATACACCATTTCGATTTTCAATACCTCACTACTATAAAGGCTTGGTCTGGTCTGAAGTTTCATTCGGTGGTAGTGTCCAGGGTCACTGATGAGGAGTGGAATTCTCCGAAACTAGTCTGGCCCACAGACACACCCCCAGTGAAAGAATAGACCATTCCAAGCTTTTACTTGTTGTTAAACAAATGTATAAGCTGCCTAGTGTCGGCCAAAAATACGAAGAATTCTACCTCTATTTCAACAACTTTTCACTCAAATGTATTTTGTCATTTTGTAGCATCTGTTTAGTATAACTGAAAGAATTTTTTTTAATGTTACATTTACACTTCTGTGCAGCCTTGAAAAATCCTGCCTGTAAATAATACACTTTTATTTTATTTTATAATTTTTCTGCCCATCTCAGAAGCATAGTTTTAAATTCACTAAGAAACTATCACCCTTTGAGAATATATTATTCATTTCTTAATTTTCAGATATTTCCCTTATCTTTTTCTGCTTAGTTTTTTGTACATATCACACACATCTTTTACACTGTATTCAATGTGTTGTCATTCTCTGTGTCACTTATATATTAACTACATTCTATAATAGTTCAAACTCTCAATAAAGCTGATACTGCAAAACATTAGGAATAAAAATATTTCATCTTTCAGTTAATATTATTTATCAGGTTAAAAACTTTCAAATAATTAATAAACAATATGGTAAAATAATTTGACATCCCAGACATTTGGCCAGTCAAACATAAACTGGTAGCAGGAAAATAAAAACTGGTAACTCAATACTTTTTTAAATTATTTTCCAACAAGTTATAAAAATATATACTTTGTTGAAATGATTTCAGTATATGCAAACAAATCTTCTAAACAACACAAGTAAAAACCACAGAAATTAAATATTCGCAAGTTCCCATTCATTTAAAGAGGCAAATTAACATATTTATAGTAGTTTCTTAAAAGTCATGGTTTTAGAGATGATCTGTTACACAAATTTAATGAGTTTTAGAACAATAGGACATAGTTTTAGTTCATTGCATATCCACAATAGATTTTTTAATGTTTGATTAACTCTGACTCAAACTAATAATAACAATTAGTTGTCAAAGAAAATGGGAGAAAATATTTTGTCAACACAAATATTTTTGTTTTCCTTAACATCCAGTCTACAAGTCGATGACAATGAACTTCAGGGGATTGGGTGGGCTACAGAAGGATGTCAGTTTCTGGTATTTGAGTTAGAACCAAAAATGTTCTCTGAATAAGGGCTTAATCTGTTAACCTATAAGGAAAGCAATTTGTTTTACAGCCAAAAGAACTCACCTCTCAGTAGTGTTCAGCTAGGGAGACATGAAGTTTACGGAGTTGGCTGGACTGTGTTCCTCTTGCACAAAATAAAAGAACTGTTCATGTTCAGTAAGGTACTGCATTTAGCCACCTTGTAAAGTGGCAAGTAAGTTCCATTGTACCTTCCTCAACCACCTTTATAAAAAAAACTCACAAAACTGCAGGGAAAATGACTTTATAATGTTTAGGAACCAGATTTTGTATGACCCAACATGTGAGGCCACTATAGTGTTTTGTGTGAGGATTTAGATAGAGGGTATGGGTTTTACTCCCTCATAGCCTAGAAACTAGAGTAAACTCAGTCACATTGGTGGTCAACACAGATTTCAGTTATCATACAGAGCTCAGAATTTTAAACAAAAAAGAGTACTAGAAAACTTTGTTTGGGAATAAACCCACCAAACATGTCTCCTTGACTTGTAGACTGGGTGTTTAAAAACAAACAGATAAAATAAATTCCTGAGTAATTCCAAGCATGTAATAATGCATTAATATCTGTATGAAATAATACTATTTTCTCTTTCTTAACCAAAACATGCAAGAACAATGAGAAAAAAAAGGAAATTTGTTTTTCAACATGTTAAAAGGTTTATAAGGTATACATGCAAAACAAAATTGCTAATTTCTTTACAAATAGTTATAATAATTGTTAACAAACAATATTTTTCTATCATAAAGAAAAACTTAAAATTATGGTGCTCCTAGAAAGCTTTTAAAACAAATATAATTCAACAATGACATCATAAAATCAAAGATGTCATATCCTTTTTTCTACTAATGTAAAATGATGCAACATTACACAATATCTAGCTTAAACAAACATGTTACAAGCTAATACGTATGCACATATTCTTTTATTCAAGAGCTGCAAAATATGTTCCTTAGGCAAAACCAATCACATTTTACTTATGTCAACAGTGTCAAAAGGAGCTATAAGTATATGTACTGAGTGAGTCAACAGTGTCAAAAGGAGTTATAGGTACATGTACTGAGTTGAGTCAACAGTGTCAAAAGGATTATAGGTACTATGTACTGAGTGAGTCAACAGTGTCAAAGGAGTTATAGGTACATGTACTGAGTGAGTCAACAGTGTCAAAAGGAGTTATAGGTACATGTACTGAGTGAGTCAACAGTGTCAAAAGGA